TAGACGACATTCAGTCCGACTATCAAAAAATCTTTCGATGTATCCCTTCAAATATAGTGATGTACAGCGACTAGCATTCAATAAAAATGTTATACATAAATTTGAAAAATATATGGATTGAAAAGATTTTCCCACTTTGCGCTCTGTCTTTTTTCTATTTTATTTTTATAAATATTTCCGAGTTATATCGTGTTAATATTTCTGGTAATATATTTTGCTGAAATTTAATTAATTAATTTTGAAAATATTGATCAAGTTTCTAGTATTTTTTATGGAAAAAATACATTAGTAACATTAACGTCTAACAATTCTGCTATTTTCGACCGTTCAAACATAAAAATGTGTGTATGATTTTCTGATTGGATAAATATCATTTTTAGGCGTAATTTATTTGTAATTTGATTAGTACTTAATCGTCCAATGACAAAATAATCAAGAAGTATTTAAGGGGATTCAATATGATTTCCTCTAAAAACATCATGGCTTATGTGGTGTGATGAAGAAGTGGATAAAAAATCTTCCGAGATTTTTCTGATTAAGATTGTGGCGGTCTCTTTGAGAAATTAGCTTCGGTCTTCCACCTTCTCTCTACTTACTCACTGTTATTGCCCAGGGCTATTAAAAAATAGTACTCCAGCTATCCTTACGTAATTATCTTGTTGCAATATTCCCTTATCACATTAACAACGGGCAATAAGAGACACTTTAGAAAATTGCTATTTTTCTAGGAAAGTTGTGTAAATTAACTGATCTGATATTTATATTTGGATAACCCTCGGTATCGTAAGGGTTAAGCTGGGGGTAGATTTGAATAAAAGTACTTGGTAGTGGTTACCGAACACTTGTATTCCGAATTATTGTACAATAAAAATTACGATACAATAGCACGTGACAAATTGATACCAACATCAAATAAATTCTTTAGACCCTTATACTATTGCCGGAGAATCTTAACACCGCGATTCAGAAAACGATCTCTAATAAAAAGCGCCATCTATGGACGAATGTTGGAACACTTGTTTTCTGAATCGCGGGTTTCTTACATGTCAATCGCTTGGCGGTTAGACAATATTTAATTATTTTTTTTCTTATTTTTATATTTTAACACACGGTTTTTTACAGGAAATGGTTAAATCCGTCGATTATCATCACCATGATTATGATTAATGCCTACATCATTGATTGTGACAAGATGACGCAGAGATGCATTAGTTAGGACATTTTGTACTGAAAGTGAATCGAATGAAAAAATCGTAATTTATCTATAAATTAAAAACGCGAATAATAAAAAATAGGAAAATAAGTAGGTTTTCATATTTTGGTAAAAAATTTTAATTGAATTACAAATCACCATTTTCACATTAGCGTCAAAGGGCACTCTTCTTCAAAAACGGCACATATTGGTAATATCATTCTCAACAAAAAGCCGGCACCACGATCATCCGAATAAAAAATTACACAAAATAGCTGAATAGGGCCCGGGCTATCAAGAATACGCTTTGATCGTGAAATGCGAAACAAATGAAAAGGTGGAACAGAGTACCTGCGTAACAGTACTTACGACAATCAGTCTTCCCAATCTTTGTTGAGGTTTTACCCAAATGCCCATTTCCTGCAGTGAGTGGCCAACTATTTTCCTCCTAATATGAGAACGGCGATAAATTTTCTGGGTCAAAGGTAGGAAAAAAGATAGGTCAAAGCCTGTAATAATGCATGATTAACACAATGTCATCAAGGAAATTGCTTCCTTCTTCATCAACATAATGTTACATATTTATTTATAGTTACGTAGACTCTTTTATGAGTTATGAGAGTTGCTTATTATGTTTCTTGTCATCAAATCCTTTGATCTTAGTTTTTATAATACAATCTCAATTTTCACATTAATCAAATATCTTCGGTAAAACTAATTGCATTTTATCAACATATAAAACTTATTTGCGAAACCACGCATTTTGATTTTACTTTTATTATGGGATAGGTAAACTAACCGGTAGCTGATGGATCAAATGATGGTAAGCAATCGGCGTCGCTCGTGGACACCTAAAACGGCAAAGGCGTTGGCGATTAGGGATATGAAAATTGTTGGGGATTGGGGAGATGGATTCACACGACGAAACAACGCAAGTGTTGTTTGACGTCGGTTTTCTGTGAGCCCTAAGTATATGCTTCGCATCGTATGTTTGATATTTTAGTATAAAAACGTTGCTTTCCTCTAAAATATTACCTATCCTTTTCACTACACTCTTGATACTCATGCACCCAAATCTTCATGTACATAGCTTAACTCGTCGAGTACCGGTTTTGTAGACACAATTATAGAACAATAGGTTGCGGTCACCGGTGACCGCTTGGTGTTTGACAGTTTAAATGATTGAACATATGTAATTTCGATATTTTTATAAACAATCACTAATGCTAGGATCGTCAATTCGAACAACAGTTTGTCCGTTGCAATAAATTATAATAATTTTTATTTATTTTTAGCCTTGATCGTCCCACTGCAGAGCAAAAGTCTCCCCTACCCTCCTTTCAGTCCTCTCTATGTAATGCTTTTATGTTTTTAAAAATTATAATTATGGGAATAAAATCTTATCAGTGAGAAAGTGTACACGATTAGCTTAAGGTTATATTATCAGAAAGTAGATGGTTATGTACGAAGTACGTATCTCATGATCTTATGCCCTCAAAGGAACATCGAAAATCCTTAACGTCAGGCGTAAGGTGGAATTGTTCTTGACAAAATTGTTCCGGAAGGGATTAAGCATCGTATTTAATTAAGACAAAAGCGCCACTGTCATCGAAGGGAAATCTTCTGGTTGTTTATTCAACAGTTTCTTCGGAGTTTATAGAATTAAATACTGTTAGCGTTTTATTGACTAAAACCAGATCGTGTGCCGTTTTGCATTTATGTTACCCTAGTCTGAATTCTTCAGTAGTAAAGGCACCAACCACCACTGATGCACCATTGACGCGAAATGATATGAAAGATGTGTCTAAACGATACAAGGGAAATATAGAGAAATTCCAAATACACTTGTATTAAAAAAAAGTTAGATTAACGTACATTATAAATGTCAATTTTAGCTGTCAGTTTTCTTAATGTAAATATAGTAAAGAATAAAATAAAATTAGTATATATTTTAACATAACATAAC